GTTTTCTGTATCAATATCTAACTGGCTTCTAGATATTTCTTGATTGGAGACCAGTCGGTTTTGCTCACCCCGGTCGTCTGTTTAGATCTCAAATATTGTGTCAGCGAGTCCATATTCATAATATCCATTAGTTTTAGTTTCCAGTCGTCTACCGTTGGTATTTCATCATTTTTCCATTTTCTAGCTAAAACTAGTCTTGCGGCTGTAGCCATATCAATAAAGCGCTTATCTTTATTCATTTCCACTTTAAAGTCCAAGATTCCAAGTAAATAGTACTCCACTTTCATTTCTTTTCTGAATTCTAGTATTTTATTGGTTATCTCATGGATTTCTTTCCAGAATTTTTTGACTTTCTCACAGTTCCACCAAAGCTGGAAAAAGGTGCCTTTCTTTTCCTTGCATTTCCAGCAGTCTTCTGATACATTTTTATAGTATTTCGCTAATTTACTTGGTGTAAGATACCACTGGAACATCATTTTGATCCAGTTTTCTCTCAGGTTGTGAGAATTTATCCGTTTTAGTTTGGTCTTCCAGACCTTTTCCCATTCCAGTGTATCAATGGTGTGTCCTAAGTTAGCTGTCCATTTTGTAATATAGCTGTTGATATTGTTTTTTTCTGTCTTCCAGCTTAATAAGATTTTATATAATTTAGTAATTCCCTTAGAATCACGTCTTAGTTACCTCTAGACTGGACTATTGCAATGCACTCTACATGGGGCTCCCTTTGAAGACGGCCTGGAAACTTCAATTGGTCCAACGTTTGGCAGCCAGACTATTAACTGGGGCAAATTACAGGGAGCAATCAACCCCCCTGTTCAAAGAGCTCCATTGGCTGCAGTTCATCTTCCGGTCCCAATTCAAGGTGCATCACCTATAAAGCCCTGAACGGTTTGGGACCCACCTAACTTTGTGACCACATCTCCTACCATAAACTTGCACGATCTCTTCAATCCTCTGGAGAAGCCCTCCTTTTGCGCCTTCCTCTATCACAGACATGACTTGTGGGAATGAGGGAGAGAGCCTTCTCTGCTGTGGCCCCTCGGCTTTGGAACTCGTTACCTGGTGAGAGTAGGCAAGCCCCCACCCTAGTAGCCTTTAAGAAAGATCTAAAAACTTGGCTAAAAACGTGACCATTCAATCCACTTTGTTTGTCTGCATGATGTACTTTCCCCTGTCCTTAACAAATGGCAAACCCCACTGCTCTTGTTTCTAGCACCCACTTTTTGCTTGATGTTCAGGCAGTACCAGTACACTGATCTTGGAAGACTATCCTACTCGGCCAACGAGGGATCGCCTAAGTAATGCTATGTACTAGGCCTGGGTAACAATGGAAAAATTTGTTTCTAAAATCGATTTGTATTTGGGTTTTTTTTTGTTTCGATATTTAAAATAATTACAAAATTTTCCTTTTAAAAAGTTCGATATTTACGAAATTTCGTAAATGGTAAAAAATTAACGAATTGATTTCCGAAACAATAACGAATCGATTCGTTAATGGCGGACGCGACCGCGAAATACGCTAAAAAACCTCCAAAACCTTCTGAAGCTTCCCTCTCCCTCTGTTGTTGACTGTTGGTGTGATATTATAATTTTTTTTCACTAATTAAACCATAAAACTGGCCCAGACATGCGGAAATAATAACGAAACGACCTCAAAACAATAACGAAACGAATACAATATCGAAATACGAAGCATTTACAAAACATTTTTGAAAATTCGTTTTTTTGATAATTGCTCCAGAATGGTTCGTTATCGTTTTGTAATTGGAAAAATTAACGAATTATTAAAGAATTACGAATTAACGAAACGAAACCGCCCAGCCCTACTATGTACATTTGCGGCATTGGGTTTATATTTCCCAGGCATGATTCAGTCAGCACTGGCTTTGATTTTAGAAGCAGTCTACCAGACCCATTGATTTTTCTGGCAAAGTAGAGGTATCTGCTGGTTTGCAGAAACATCTACATGCCCACTGCCAGCTCAAATCAGGTGCAAACCTGACCTCCAAACACGGTGTCTTTCCCTATAAACTTTGGCTCCGTTTGCCTTACGTGACTCAAGTCACATTAAACAAAGAGTCACGCAAGCC